AATGTGCTCAAACTGCCATCTGAAGTCGAGACGAAAGTAAGAGTGATCGGCTCCGTTCCCGTTGGCGTCGTAATGATTATCTCCGTCGTCAAAGTCCCCCCAATTGTTGTGGTAAAGCTTGTGACTGGTGGCGTTGTGACCCTGGTGATCGGGACGCCATCGACCGTGGTTACAAAAGTCGTGGGAGGCGGTGTCAACGTGACAACTGTTGGCGTCCCGCCTACATGCCGAGTCGTGGTATAAGTTATCGGTTGAAAGGGGGCCCCGACGGGTGTTGTAACAAGAACCTGCCCATCAACCGTGTATGTGACAGGTTGTCCCACGGCAAGAGGCACAACGAAGTCCTGAACCGTAGTCAAAACACCGCCTTCAGTCGTGACGCGGCCAACCGGAACTGCTGGCGTCGGGGTAATGACCACAACGTTTGTAACCACGCCACCTCCAACAAGAGTCGTTCCAGTTTCCACGCGGTTGAGTACCTGAGTTTCCACCTTGATCTCATTTGTCACCACGACTACTGGCGGTGGCTGGTCGATGATGGTTATGGTTTCCGGTTTATCGACGATGGTTTCTGGCTCTCTTTGACGACCGTTGTCGTTGATGATTGTATCAGGGTTTCGAGGGGGGTAGCTGGTCTCGTAATACGTGATTGTAACCTCGCCGTAGGTCGGTATTACAGTGGGGAGAGCCGTGCGGACTGTAGTAGAAACAATGATGTCGGTAACAACCTCCTCGGAGGCGATCACAGCAGTTGTGGCAGTCGCAACAATTGTGGTCACGGCTGCAGGCGGTGGGCTTGGCTCCGTGAACACGGGCTCGGTAGCAATCGACGGCTCGGGCTCAGTAAAGGATTTAGTAAACGTTCCATTTACAGATGGGTAGTAAGGCTTCGGCGGTGGTGGCGGCGCCGAGATCGAGATGCTTGAGACGAAGGTGGTGAGAAAGGTGCTTTCGGCGGCGGTATGGGTGATCGTTCGAACCGAAGTAAGTGTCGTGACCACAGTCGAGACGAGAGGCGAGACGCTGGGCGTGTAGGAACTTTTGATGACCGCCGTTGATACGGGCACGAGCACAGCGCCGGGCGGCAAGCTAGCTGAGGAACTTGTAGTCGTTGCCCGTGTCGTCGAAGAGTTGTCGGCGCGCATCATGAGACGACGGGATGGTGTTGGTGCTCCATGAACCATGGTGGGATTCGGACCGACGAAGACGGCGTCGCTGTCAGAGTTGGGCATGGCCTTTTGAGCCCAGGCAATCAAGGCAATGGCGATACACAGCAATGCCGCGAGAGTGACGATAAACGGCCATCGCAACGGCGTCGGCTTGTAGTCGGGCACCTTTATTATTCGTCGAAGTGCTGGGGTTTGCCCAATTTTTGGCTCGTTTTCTTGGTCCGGATCATGATCGTCTGGAATGCCATCCTCGCGATCCTCCGTCGGCTGTGGGTTGTATTCGTAGGATCCATAGCTGGTATTTCGGCCCTCCCAAGGTTGTTGTGTCGGAAGAAGCGGTTGTTGCTGCATCTCGGGGAGTCCCCCACAGCGGCAGTCGCGACTGCCTTGTGGTATCTGTTGCGTCTACCTGCCGAGTCTTCGATATGCGTGGGGCCTCGTCACGGTTTGTCGTTCATTGATCGAACCTCTTTCCGCTGTCTCCTCTTTTCCTCTCAAGGTCCAACTCCTCAAACGAATGTCGGGCTCCTGTCGTCCGCACCGCAGGATTGTCACCAAACCTCCAACTCTCGCGGCCAGAAATGTTACCAAACGTGCATGTTGAGCTTTCCCTGCGCGCCATCAACCGGTCAGTGGCTGCGGGCGCCCTCATATTTGCCCATTGCCTGTCACTTGGGCATCCAGGCCTGGGCCTAGGGCTCTCTCCGAATCCCTGCCGTGCGGCTGAGGGCCAATCCCCTGCTCCCGTCGCACTCGCAATGGCTTGCAGGACTTTCATATCGATGGCCCAGCACAGCCCACTATTGGCGCCGCTATAGGTTCGGGTACGGCTGGTGCGTGGCTCGTCGCGTCCGGATTGGTTGGCTGTTGGGTGTGGCTGGACGGCGTGCAACCAGCCAGCCGGCGCGCGACATCTCCGGAGCCAGTGATCCAAAACCTCAGCTCGTCTTCACCGTCTCGGCGACAACGGCAGTGGCTTTGCTGGCGTCGTCTCTTCCACACCAACCTTTGAGAAGACGATGCCTCATCAGCGTCACATGTTGTTGAGCATAAGACTAGAAACATATCATTTTGCCCGAAACAGTCATCCAACCTATTCGATGTTCACCAACGTGCTTTGGTGATGAGTCCTGTCTGTCCGGCACTCATGCTTGACCTTGGCTTGGCAGCGTGAAGCACTCCCGATTTGGATTAGCGTCCCGCACACCACTGCCGTCGCTTTCCCGCTCTTGGGGCGCCGCTGAGGTTGAACCTCTCAAGTTTTTTTCCATGCAACTTTTCCGTCAACAATATACGAGGTTGTTTGTGACGATATGAATGTTATCTGCCGCCTTGCTACCGTGAATCGATATCTTGGCTGGACGGGGATTAGCAACGAAGAGGATTTAAGCTTTGCGGGATGGAGTCGGATGGCCAGTGCAACGGCGTCGCACTTCGCCCCGATAATCTAAACCGCCGGCCACCGCCGCCGTCGCCGCCGCGGGATGAGGATATTCTTCCCAGCACGTATTCGGACACCTCGAGGGGCCTCACAAGCTGAATGTCTTGGGCTTCGGGACCACGAGCACTCAGCCAAGCTCGAGAAGCCAACGACGGGGTAATCGGCCATCTCTTGATGCACCGACGACACCTATAAAAACCGATGACACATGGGACATGTCGAAAACAACCTGATAGGGTTGTCAGCGCCAACCCGAATCCACCAACCATACCTAGTGTGGCACGCTCCCTGAGAATAGTATACTCCCGCCACTCAAGCTAAGAGAGGTGGCCGCAGTGAAAGGTACCAGCTGCGCCACAGATGTACAGAGTCACACCCTCCAGATATCACAGATCCCAAATTCAAGACAAGGTTCGCACGTTGACTTGCCGAACAATTGCAAAGTGACGGCTAGACAGTTTGTCGACCTCTACGACTTAGGTTGTTCCGTCATCGGGCGGCTGCGGCAAGACAAACAGACTGCCAGCAGTGAACAGTGTCCTGGCAGGAAGAGCGTCGTTGGAAGACGAAAAACGAGGAGAAGCGAAGATGAGGCCTGGACTGCGCACGCTTGTAAGGGCTCGAGACTGAGCTCCGCCTCACCGCACCACCGCACGACATATTGGCGCAATCATCTCGTAATATTGGTGAGACTAGGAAGGGTTGCCTGGGCAGCCTGGGCGAGAAGTGTGCTTGGCGAACCCAAAGGCGCCAAAGACTGCCTGAGACGATGTTGGACGTCGAGATAATCGGAAGGTAGCATCATTCGTAGATAAAAGAAGCGCCGACGAAACGCCCCATGGATGGTATTGCTCATTGTTCCGCGTCCAAACCGTCCATGCCCATGTACATGCCCTCTAAAGCCCAACTTTTCCATGTTGAGGTTGAAACCACTCCCCGGGTCTCAAATAGAATGACCATGCAAGGCCAGGGTACGGAAGCCCAAGCCTGTCCCTCCATCCTGTCTCCACCCAGCTTTCCACTCGACGATCGCTTAAAACACAAGAGCGGCACCCTTGGTCTTCTTGTCACCACTGTTCAAAATATGTCAGCATATGCGGCGCGAAGGATATCAAGCCGAAAGTGCGGGGTGATGGCGGAGGGAAACGCGGTAGAACAGGAGGCCGATCTCGAGACCGCCGGGTTCGAAGTTGGAGCAGAGTCTCGTGCCGGCTGCTTGGTCCATCAGATAGGGGATGTCTCTGGCTGCCGCGTTGCTAGTGGTTCCGAACCAATTCATCAGGTCCCCCACCGAGGTCAAGAACCGCGGGAGCTTCAAATATGGCCCCAACTGTGCAACGGTGCAAAGCCCAACCCCGCGTTAATAGACCAAGCAGCCAGCACCACGACCGTCGAGCACCAAAATGGTTGATGTTGGGTATCGGCTTCGAGAGTCGGTCGTTCGTCGGAGAGTCGCGCTTCGGTCGGAGGGCATTGCGGCCGCGTTTCCCGGGGATTCGTAGGGAAAAGATCGTAGAGAAAACTCACCCAAGCTCGAAGTGCTTGCAGCGCTTCAGCGGAAGCTGCTTCTTGGCCTTGCATGACGAGCATTCCTAAGCAACCGTTTAGCTTCTTGTTCTCAATCCTCAGCGCACAGCGGGCAATCGCACCAGTCGCAGAACGATCTTCTTGGTGGTCTTCGCCTTCTTGTGGAAGACGGGCTTCGTCTGACCACCGTAACCGGACTGCTTGCGGTCGTAACGGCGCTTTCCCTGTGCAAAGGCCGAAGCCTTGCCGGCCTTGTACTGAGTGACCTTGTGCAGGGTGTGCTTGCCGCACTCCCGGCTCTTGCAGAAGGTCTTGCGGGTCTTGGGTACGTTCACCATTTTGCCGGCTGTTGTCGTCGTGATGTGGTGAGGTCGGTTGGTGGATGTCGCGAACTTGGCCTCGATTATTTTCGCTGGGAGTAGCAAATTTCGCCTGGCTGGCTCTCGTGTGTGGGCGCGCACGGATATTTGATGACCCGCCCCGCCTTGCCCCAAAGCTGGTGCCCCGCCAAGGCTTATCTTATCGGCACGCCGAGATCACCAGCAACCCCGCCGAGCCTCGCAGTTCGCAGGGAACCACGTCGTTGCCGCATCAGCCACGCGAGCACCATGCGCGGCCGTGGCGATTTGGTCATCTTTTCTGACTTCTAAGTTGTCATTATTGCTCTCAATTGTATCTTCTACTTTCTTGTTCATTTTTATCAAGACACTTGACCTGCCCGCGATGGCGGCATGGGCCACTGTTGCTTGCGCGTACAGCGTTGGGCCAACCGCTTTATCCCCCTCAGCTTCAGCCACAAATCCGAGTCGATGAACGGGTCGCAACACCATGAGTCGCCTTTCGGGTCAGCCCGCCAACAACAAGGTCCGCTGGCTCAATGGCAGAGCGTCTGACTACGAGATTATTAGGGTTGCACTAAAAGGCATCTTGATGTCAGTTATCAGGAGGTTCCAGGTTCGACCCCTGGGTGGATCGAGAATGTTCTTTTTGCCTTTTGCCCCAGCATCAATATTTTGATGGTCTCATGATATTCTCCGGACGCTGCCCTTCTCTCTGGGCGGCAGGACAAATATCACCAACAGATCCGAAATTCCACCTGGGTGACGGACCGCACAGTTCCGTGTTGTATCATGAGCTACGGTCATCATCTTTTCCACGATATTGGTCTCTTTGGACAGCAAGACAAAGGTGGAACTGCAGTGGTAGGGAGAATAGCTACACAGTGGCCAAGCTGAGCGAAACCGTCCAGTTGAGGAATCACTTGCTGGGCAAGCAAGCCGATATCGGGTCAAGGCTCCCAGCACATCAAGCGTGTTGTGTTGACATGTCTGCTATACAGACAGAGTGTCATCAATGAGGAATCAATGTCTTGGCAAGTCACCGTCGCATGCAACACTCCCAGAAGGCTCTACACTCATCCCACGTCCCCGCGATATAGGAGCGTACCCGCAGTCCCGGTTTGCCAAGCTTGCACCGAGTGTCCCCCACACCGGGAGTTGGGTCAAGCAGATGACGTGCGCTCTCTCAATCTCTGACTCCTGCAGCATCTTACTTGGCAGGCACCGTGCCTCCTATGGGGCCGCTTCGGGCTACATGTCGGAGATAAAGTTGAGGACTCGCCGACACACCTCATGTGGGCATCAGGTTGTCACACCTCGCTAGTCTGCGGAGGAAAGCTTGCTGCGGCTTGACTTCGAGCAACTCGACGGTGCCGGGTTGGCGTGAGGGAGGAGGGCGCGTTGGACATCATTTCACCTCATCTTTGCCGTCACAGATAGGGGTTCGCCAAGGGGTGCCCTTCAATGTCACGGCAAATCTTGCTCTTCGATGGGTAATACCGGAGTCCCCCAGCTACCCGGCTAGCCTTGCCTTCGATGAAGTTTGATTCCAAGATCGTCGCTCCATAAAAAACATATTGATACTTTTACAGCGCTTCACCAGAATACAACGTCGCCTCTTTTGTCCCTTATCAGTTCTTCGGCTCACGGACCGCAGGCCAGGTTCAACTCCGTTGCCGAACCGGTTGTCGTCAGCTCCTGCTGGCTTGGCAGTGCCGAGAGAATCCGGGAAAAGGGAAAGAGAGGGCCTGCAGACGATGACGAAGAGGCGGGCTGGCGAGCTGGGACGATCTCTATTTCAGTCGGAGATATTCTCCTTCGCGTATTGTTTTTCGTTTCCTCCCACTCACTGCCGTCTCTGTCTCCCGCCTGCCCAGCAGTGGCTGGTCACCTACTTCACTGCTTCAGTGTGGTTCATGCGCTTGGAATACAACGGTGTATTCTGCCATCCCAACCCCGAGTCCACACCTCCGCGGGAGTCCGGTTGCTGGAACACCACAGAATTTCGCTAGGTCATTGGGCGTCCTGTTGGCGGATATTGGGACCCTCTGAATTTACAAATGAAGACGACCGCGGCTCGTGGGTCCTTTCTATATTGTGCCGGCCTCCAGTCCGTCCATGCTTGGCGCACGAGGGTTGGCGCAACTTAGCCATACAGCCGGGAGGGGGAACCGCCGCCACAACAGCACTGATAGAGATTGCCCAAGGCCAAGACGGGATTGCAGCAATGCGCCCCCTTGTATATTCTCCTCTGCCTGCCGGACCCCCAATGGGTAGGCGGAATGAAAATATTCGGCCCACAGAGTCCCCTTGGTGTTGATTTTCGTTGATTGGAGTCTATATATGATTCCAAAGACCCGATCCCCTGCTCTGGGGTAGGCAGCGGGCCACTTCATACAAAGGGACGGGTAGCTTCCAGGACAATCCGCTCTCGAATCCACTCCTTCACGCGCCGCACCCGGTTTTCCCTCGCTTCCAAACAGTCGCCACCATGCAGCTCCTCTCCTTCGTCAGCCTCCTTGGCGCCGCCTCCGTCGCCACGTCCCAGGCGACGACCCCTAACGGCACCGTGACGGGAGCCATGGGTGACGCGAAGCCAATCAAGAACAACCCGGTCGGCGAGACGTGGGTCGCCACTTTCGACGGAAGCCAGGCCGGTATCAAGGGCACCATCACGGCCGTGGGGTGGACAGTTGGCGTCAATTACACCATCGATGTGACCGGTCTGCCCGAGGGCAAGGGACCGTTCAGTACGTCTGCCCAGATCTTAACAAAACGACCGCTAGGATGTTGCGCTGATACCCCCCTTTTTTTCAGACTACCACGTCCACGCCAAGGCCCTCCCTGTCAACGGTACCTGCGCTGATACCGGTGCCCATCTCGACTCCTACGTCCGTGGCCAGGAGCCGCCTTGCACGGCTTCGCTCCCTGCGACCTGCGAGGTTGGTGATCTCTCCGGCAAGTACGGAAAGATTGACGGCCCCGCAGCCAAGAAGGAGTGAGTAACTTGACTTGTGTTTGATTTTCGAAGAGATGCTAAGATTGGCTTCCAGGTTCAACGACCCCTACTCCGCTCTGGACAAGATCATGCTGGGATACATTGGCGAGCGCGCCATCGTCTTTCACAATGCGAGCTCGGCCCGCATTGCGTGCGCGAACTTGGTCAAGAAGGCTTAGACAAAGAAAGTCGACATGTATGAGCGGCAGAGGACATGCAGTGGTCCCGAGGGAATACGGAGTAGGGGAGTTCCAGTACATATCTCGTTTCACTTGTATATACACAGATGGATTCAAGCGGTTGTCTCAGTACTGAAGTGTCGGGCATGATCAGATACGAAGAGTAGGAGAAAACAGCAACACTACTGCCATGCCTGATTCTTAATAATTAAATGCACGCACGAGGCTCTGAATATCTTCAGGCTGGGCATCAATCACTGAACCTCACACAATCTTCGTCTTCACGCCCGGCTCCAGCCAAATAACCTTCTCTCCCAACCCCTCTTTCTCCAAAACTCCCTTCAATTCCTGTCACAAGTCAGCTCATATTCCTCTCTCGACACTTCTCCACTCAGTCAGAAAACAAGCTCACCTCTTTCCCTTCGGTAAAGTGCGCCCAACTCTCAAAGTGCATCGGCACAAGCACATCCGCCCCAATGTCCCTGAACAACTTCGCCGCATCCACACCCGCCATGGTAATCTGCAGCGCTCCCCCCTCGGGATGCGGCACCAGCACATTCCCAATGTTCAACATCGCCACCGAGATGTGCCACTTCTCCTTCATCTTCGCCAGCTCGGGGAGGTAAATCGTATCTCCCGAGAAGTAAATCGCATTCGGGAGACCATCCGTCTCGCCGAATTCAGGGGTCGTGATGATGAAGCCCACGACCTCGCCGCCGGGGAGGTGCACGCAGGGGGTGCCCGTGACGGTGAAGATGCGGCCGCCGAGGGAAAGGGTGGTGGATTCCCAGGGGAGCAGGGCGCGGACGCCAGGGCGGGGGGCGAGTTTGGAGGCGGCGTCGGGGGTGGTGAGGACGTGGCGGCCGTCGAGGAGTTGGCGGCCGGGCTCGTCAAGGTTGTCGGGATGATCCTCGTGGGAGAGGAGGACCGCGTCGATGGGCGGGAGATCGGGGAGGGTCAGGGCTGCGGAGAGGGTCGTGCGGAGGGTGTGTTCGCCGAGGGTCCATTCGCCGCCAGCGGGGGAAAAAACGGGATCGGTGATGAGGTTAACGTGGTTGAGATGGATTATGGCTGTGGCGGTGCCGATCTGGGTGGTTTGTTAGTGAATCTTGACGGTGGCCGGTGTGGTTTCTGATCTTTTTCTGGGGAAGGGTAACAGGTTGAGAATATCAGAGAGGTGAGAGCGAAAAACCGTCAAGGAGTTCCATGTCCGGATCAAATTCATACATGAGTGAGACTCAATGAGGCACCGAAGTTGAGCTGGGGCGACGACATGGTGATGCTGGTATCAAGGAGCACTTGCGCGTGAGTAAACTTCAATGTTCCTGATGTGTGAGCGATTGAATAAAAGCTAAATAGGTCGTATAAACAATCCTCGACCTCCAAAAACCAGAGTTCCACGAGTGGGTAATATATCTCTTGTACATTTAGTAAGCACCCCACAGAGCTCACAACACACCATACCCGGGGTAATATCTCGGCTTGCGACCATCTGCTAGTGGTGGAGAAAGTAAGCTTCGTGAAGGTGTGAAGTTCACCATGGCGAAGAACAACCCCGCAATAGGCTGCATAATCATGTTGTAAGCAAGGTACTCTTATAGGAAAGTTGCTCGATTTTGGTTGCCCGTGAGCTCCATCGGGGTCTTCAGATCGGGGCCTCTGCGGGAGGTGTGCATGATACATGTCTTGGCGGAATATGACACCCGTTTCGGTTAGTTCTATTGACGCTGTGGAACCGAACGACAGAGCGGAGCTCCGAACAGCTTCATCATTGCCCATCCGCTGCAGGTCAGATATATCAGCGCCGAGGACTTGCGTGGGGCTGTCAATCCCCCCCTTTTTTGCATCGACGGCACCAAACACTCGACGGTCTTATCAGAACAGCAAGCGGCCGTCTTTGATTTTTCGCCAAAAACGAGTCGCTGTCCCCGGGGCTCAGAAACAGCCTCGAGTTCAGTTTCTGGAGCAGTGAGGAAACATGAAAGTCAAGCAACGGACAACATGCGAAACCTGCCGGAAGAGGAAGATCAGCGTGGGTACAAGTCTTCTCAAATCTCCTATTCCACAGAATACTCATCAAGTATGGACTCTAGTGCGATGGGAAGCACCCCGGTTGCACCCAATGTACTTTCAGAAAGGTCATGTGTCCCGGTTACGGATCTGAGTGGACGTTTGTTTCCCAAGGCTTTGGTAACAGGGAACGTCGACCAGTCCGTTTTGCACGGCAGCCAGAGCAGCGCAGGCGGATTAGGGAAACGTCGGTCCTCGTGCCGCGACCTTTATCAACACCGTTCGCCAACTTTGTGGCCGTCCTTGTCCAGAGCTTTGTACCCAAGTCGGACGATCGGCATGTGTCCGTCGCTGACACTTCGCACCCTCGCGTGTGCGGCGCTTGGGTCGAAGTCCTTCCTGAGCTCGCCGTGAGCAGTTGCGGACCTGTGCTGCGATCGGCCGTCAATG